AGGAAACCGGGCGCCGCGTCATTACATGGCGCCCGGCTTCCTGATTAGCCATCAGCCATCATGCTTTCTCATCACATGTGACGAGAAGGATGGGGACGGCTTCCCGGTCTAATGTAAGTCATTACACGCCGTCTGGCTTCCTGCATGGGATTTCCCGTCTCCGTATTCTTCCCGGCCAATCAGGAAACCGGGCGCCGCGTCATTACATGGCGCCCGGCTTCCTGATTAGCCATCAGCCATCATGCTTTCTCATCACATGTGACGAGAAGGATGGGGACGGCTTCCCGGTCTAATGTAAGTCATTACACGCCGTCTGGCTTCCTGAATGGGATTTCCAGTATCGGTATTCGGTATCGGCGAGTACTGAAAACAAATATCGGTACTCGTACTCGATACCGAAATACCAATGTATACATAAAGAGTGATCTGATCTGACTTCATTGAGTAGTGCTATCACTGGTACACACTCCCTGGGATATGTATATATACTGTATGTGTCTTCTGGACTATACTGGAGAATTGGAGGATTGCAGCTCCAGCAATAAATTCTGTAAATCTGTCCTTAATCTGGTGGATTGGGAACCCTTTTGTTTACCTGTCTGTAATACAGGAGAAGTATTGTGAGACTCACCCAGTGCAGGCTCATCAATGTTTCTCACACGGAGAACACCTCATATATCAAAAGTCCAAACGAAGGAACTTCTCACATGCCCCAAAACAGATCCAAATCCGCCTTAAAGACTTCAATGTGATTGATATGTCAATGGAGGAAGAGAGAGAAAGCTACAAAGCACTAACTCAGGAAGTAGAGCCACCTACCCCGAGTGTGAGGAGCTCTTTGGAATCTGGCTAAAGTGGGTCACCCAGAACTCTGACTACAGTAAACTATATAACAATAGGATGTGGTCAGTCACCCCTTCTTATTGTCTGAGTTAATGTTACATCATACAAAGACATTCTAGACAATTGTGAGCTTCCAACCTTGCGGTCACTGTCCCAGCCCTTAGGCTCCAGTCTTTCTGCAGTCACACTTGTCAAATGTTTGGTTAAAATAAACTTGAAATGCAATTGTCAGAAGACAACATTTGTGCTGCCCGTTCACAGCGTGAATAAAATGTTCTCATTATATTGCACAATAGCAAAGCTTAAAGTGTACCTGTCACCTGCAGACTGTACTTATGAGAATGCAGCAGAAATGGTCATGTGACCGACTCATTTTTAGCCTTATGCTTGGATATGATCTGATCCTATAACGTCGTTGCCCTTCCTATGATCATCAATTAACCAAAAGCAAAATTCATAATCAAAGTTTGCTACAGCACAATGACCAGTTCTCTTAAAGTGAACCTACACTCAAATATTAACCCTAAGCAATAATTCCTGCAGGTGGACGTACAGTATAAAGAGGAAGAAACGGGCTCCCTGCAGTGCTGCTGACATAACTACAAATCTAGGCATCTGGTCACATGATCACTACTGAAGGGGAGGACAAGATATAAGACTTCAACAGAGGTCACATGACCAAAGCTCTGGGCTTATTGTGACCAGCACTGAAAGAAACTTAGGGCAGAATTTCTCCAGGTAAGGAATTTCAATCTTTTTATTATTTTTGGCTAGACTGGTGACATACATTTATTATTTCAGAGTATGTCCATTTTAAGTAAAGTTGGGATATTCAGCTTCTGATGAAGATGGCCCAAGAGTATTTGTGGTAATAAGGTTATGGTAGGGACATTTAGGAAGAATGGGGCCCTAGGCAAGGCAGCAGCTTTGACCACCAAATGCCTTCGATTGACATGGGGCCCTAGGCAAGATAGTAGTTTGACCCCCCCCCCCAATGATTTTGATTTACATGGGGCCCTAGGCAAGGCAGCAGCTTTCACCTCCATATGCCTTTGATTGACATGGAGCCCTAGGCAAGATAGCAGCTATGAATGCCCAATGCCTCCAATTGACATGGATAAGGATTACAATAGGTACAGAGTAGATGCCCCAGTTGCATTGTCTGTACTGGCATTGACCAACTCGGACACAATGCCCCTATGGTGCAGGGAACAATGTGAAGGTCGCTGTCCACTGCAACCTGATTTCCTGTAGGCTGCTACAGCACTTTTCTCCATGGCTGGATCATGCACAAGGCAACCTGGGCAGGAGCCCAGGGCTTGGTGAATGTCAAGGGGGCCAAGCTATGACCTATGTGACAGCAAAATGCTGTCACTTCACAAAGGAGATCACGTTTAGGCATTTACATAGTATTTGAGGTTGAATAAAGACATTAGTCCATCAAGTCCAACCTATTAGGATCTCATTCTTAGGAGTACCTGTACCCCTGTATATTACGGTCCCTTAGGAAATCGTCCAAAAGTTTCTTGAACAATTCCACATTCTCGTATACTGGTGACCAGAACTGGACCGCGTACTCCAGATGAGTCTCCACTCCATTGTCTCTGCAATACATCCCCTTCTTAATACAGGACAAGACCCTGCTAGCTTTGTTTACAGCAGCCTGGCACTGAAAGCTACCATTCAGTTTGTGGTCTACAATGGCCCCCAAATCTTTTTCTATTTCTGACTTCCATAGTGGCATACCCATAATTGTATAACCCATTTGTTTATTTTTCTATTACCCTCCCAATTTTGGTGTCATCCGCAAACACGGAAATATCGCTGTTAACACCCTCCCCGATGTCATTAATAAATAAGTTGAACAATATGGGACCCAGCACAGAACCCTGAGGCACACCGCTCATTACACTAGCCCAGTCTGAAAAGGTGCCATTTACAGATACCCTCTGGACCCGTTCCCGTAGCCAGTTCTCATTTGGTGTCTGATCATTCTGAGTTGGTCAGTACCAGTACTGACAATGTAAATGGGCCTGCTTCTCTGTACCCATTGCAATCCTTATCCATGTCAATTGAAGGGATTGGGGGGACACAGTGCTACCTTACCTAGGGCCCCATTCTTCCTTCCTCTGCCTATGGCAGTAATAAACAATAACCAAAAAGTGTTGGGGGAGGGCAGTTGTGGGCTCTGGAGGACCCGTGTGGCCCCAACCATACAAGGTTTTATGGCTGCAACAAACTTCTTACATCCAATACACATTGACCCTGAATTCCATGTCCTCGCTCTGGTCATCCGCTCACCTCTGCTTGAGAATGACACTTGAACACGTGTAGTAATATTGCACTTGCACGCACATAATAAATAAACCTTTGTGAAATATGCAGCATTTACAACTGTTAAAATAAATAAAGCTATCGGATTTTTGATACTTCAGCTTTTATAGTCCTGAACATGCCTCCTCCTGATATGGAACACCCTGGCGATATTAAAGTGCACCTGCAACTCATAAACAGTGCAGGCAGCCATCTTGTGGACGGAACTACTACCGAACCTAGTGACATCACCGTGATATTATAGACCACATGCCGAGGCAATGACACTCATTTCTTATTGATGGGACGTATCCTTTAAAGCAGTGGTTCTCAGCCGGTGTAACCTCAGGACCCACATTTGTCCTCGGTCATTAAGTCACGACCCAAGTCGCACTGCAATGGAACCCACGGCATTAGGGTACCGCGCGTTCCAGTGCAGGTGTACAAACTGTGGGTGGGAGGTGCGTTTGGGGTACCATTCAAAGGAATGGCAACGCAACACACCTCCCACACTAGAATGCACGTTAGGTGGGATTGTGTGGTACAGTGCGTTAATCGCATGGTACTATTCGAATAATGCACTGTACTAGTGTGAATGGGCCCTCAAAAACACTGACCTACACACACTCTCACATACCAAAACATTTTGTATTTGATTGTTCTTTTTATAAGGTCCACCCAGTCCCCATACCTTAGGAGAACTGGAGTGGATCCCCAGCCTGGGGTCCAGTGTGGGCTGCTGTGCTGTGAAGGAGCTTCATCTATATGTGCATTACTTGTACAGTTCCCTTGCGCACCCTGTAGAGGTGCCGGGAGCCAGGTTGTGATGTCCCCATGGCACCTCTATTGGACATGCGAGGGAGCTGTAAGGAATACACGTATGGATGGAGCTCCCTCACTGCTGGAGCACCATCCCATCCCACCTCAGGCTGACACTCGGCGGCGGGCAGCATATTTTGCATGGCCGCTCGGCACGAGAATTGACAGCGCTGCGCTAGGGGGAGGCAGAGGAGCATCTCACCTAGAAAAGTGGAAGGCATGCGGCGACCCACTGAACACGGGGTTGCGACCCACTTTTGGGTCGCGACCCACCGGTTGAGAACCAAAGCTTTAAATGCTTGTCCCATCCACAAAATGGCCGCCTGCTTAGAGACCGATACTCTTTAAAGAGTCAGTTCATCCAAAACAGACATTCAGTTTATAGTGCATGATGACGAGCTGGGCCGTCCAGTCACCTAGACGGCAATCCTGCCATTTCCACCGCTATTCAGTGCCAGCAGGAAGAAAGTGACCCTCCTGTAGCAGCTGCAGTGGGAACTCAAGCTACAGATATGAATCCCCAAAGGACACAAGAAGCTGGTGGGTGATTACACCCGAAATCTGGAATGTCACTTTAGGATGGACTGACCCTTTAAATCTGCACAGCTACATTTGCTCGAATGCATAGGAATGCCCTGATGTAACCTTTAATAAATAGACTTTGTTCTCTTTGTACCATGATGTAGATAAAATAAATAAATAAATATGTGTCTCTGTCTCATGCTAAAAAAAAAAAAAAACGCTAAGCACTGATTGGCCGGCTCTGAGAATCTCCTCTCCCATGATGCAATTAAATGGACACAAGAAAACGTCCGCGGTCTTACGTAATCCTCAGCGCTCAGTCCACTCTTCCTATACCACCAGAGCCGACGGTGGTACGTTCTACGCACCCCTGCGGCGTGGGATGGCTATTCGCGGTTTGGTGCGCACATGCGGTTGCCGTTATCCAATCCTCAACAAACCTGAAAGAGGAACAAGAAGCGGAGGACACTGAAATGACCGGGCAAGCGATGGTGGCACTCTACGCCCTCATCTGATCTCCTGGTCATAGGTCGACGTGCATGTCCCTGTAAGACTTGTCAACCGTCCACTCCTTCTGTTTCTCATTGTCGTCTTTGGTGTAGCGAGCCATCTCTTGCTGGAACCAGAGCTGGCGGGTCTTGTTGGGATCAACATTGATCCAGTTGTTGGCGATCCATTTCGTACCTTCTGTCACCAGGCAGCCTCCATGTAGAGCAAATTCATCCACATCCCCCATCCAGCCTGAAGGAAAAGACAAACTGTGATTGGTGGTGGTGGAGAAGACCTTCAGTCTAACAAAAGAATGGAAAGTTGTTTTAAATGGATTACCTGTTAACTCACTAATTATTACCAATGGGCCGTCTCAGGGCCATACAAAAACTTCAGATCACAGGGCCCCATAGAAAAAATGTGATGGGGCCCCTCTACAGACCTCTCTGTGAGGAACAATGCCAAGATCCCAAAGACTCTTCTTGTGCATCTAAAGTCGTCTCTACACTGTATACTTTAACACCAACTCTTAATGATATAGTACTGTATTATCTTCACATGTTCTATGTTTAATTTGCCTTAACAACCTAATTGGGCCCCCTTCCACCCCCAGGCCCCATAGCAGCTGCCTGAACATCAGCAAGCAGCCGATCATATCTTGTGCTCGTGCATCTGTTGAATGTAATATCACAATGGGGTACCTTTGCCATCGGACAGATAATTGTACCAGAAGACAGCCGTTCCTTGCCGGGGTTTAATTCTCAGGTTCCCCTTGTCACAATGTTTCCTCGTATCTCTCAGATCAATGTCATTCTGGATTAAAGACTGAAACGAAAGAGACATAACATTTTGGTAGCAAAAAAAACCCCCAAAACAAAACAAAACTTCAATTTTCAAGGGTCAGTCCGCCCATAAAATAGATCTGGGTTGGTTCTTTGGTGTTGAAAGGTAAATGGTGACAAGAGCCAACAATTCCCACAATTGGAAGCTCACCATGCCAGCTGCATTCACGATGAGAGGATGGAAATGGATAATGCAACGGGGAGAGTGAGAACCCTCGGGGAAAACTCAATATGGAAATACATCTTTATTTTTAGTTTTTGACCATAGTTACCCTTTAAAAGCATCCTGTAGGCCCAGGTGTACATAAAGCATCCTGTAGACCCAGGTGTACATAAAGCATCCTGTAGGCCCAGGTGTACATAAAGCATCCTGGTGGAAAGAACCAGAACCGAACAATTGCCATTGGACCCAACAAAAATTTTAAGAGCCTGCAAAAGTAAAATGGATCTTGACGGACAATTATTTTGCACACCTTTCCTATCAATTTCACATGACTTTACACCACATCTGCTATCAGAATGAACCTGCCCCTGATAACATGTGTAGCTGACTCCCCAAATAAAGCACAACAATCAGGAACCATGGTCTAGTATACCACAGGTCATGTGACCAGATACCCAGGCATTTGGGCTAGGGATGCACCCATACCGATACTGGTATCGGTGCCGATACTGAACATTTGGACGAGTATTCTTACCCGCCCAAATACCCCGATACTTGCCCCGATACCAGAGATTCCCTCTGACCGGCAGTGTCGCAAGGGAGCATGGAGCCGGCTTCCCGGCCAATCAGGAAGCTGGGGGGCGGGTCATGACCCACCTTTCCGGTTTCCTAATTCGCTAGGAAGCCGGCTTCATGCTGCCTAGTGACACTGCAAGGCAGCCTGGCTTCCTGACCAATCAGGAAGCCCGGCGGCAGGTCATGAGGCAGCGTGAAGCCAGCTTCCCAGGCAATCAGGAAGCAAGGCGGCGGGTCATGACCTACCACTTGGCTTCCTGATTGGTCGGAAAGCTGGGTCCACGCTACCTCGGGACGCTGGTATAAGTACTCAGTATCCGTGAGTACTGATAACAAAAATATCGGTACCCGATATCAAAAAAACAGTATCAGTGCATCCCGAATTTGATCTCTTCTGAAGGGGAGATTCAGCCACTCTGAACTCAAGAGCTGGCCATACACAGTTAGATTTCTCACGTTCAGCACAGCAAGCAAACAGTGTGGATGGAGGAATCTTCCCTGCTATTCCCAGCTTTCTGGCTATTGCATTCTGAAAGCTGGCACCCGTGGCAGTCAGGATGCCTCAACAGTGACTGCAGTTGATAAGCCTCAGTCACTGGTCGGCTGACAATTTTTTACTCCTTCGACAAAAGTCAATTGAGAAACTCTCTATTGGCATAACAAAGAAAATGTGACTCACCATCTCCTCATAGGTGCGGTTGTCGGCGACTGGAAATGTGGTCTCTCCTCCACCAGTAACATTGTTCAGGTAAAAAAGAATGGTCACATACCTAAAAATCAAACTCGTGTCATCAGAACAGCCAGTATGACATTGTGTAATGTTGGGGGCAGAACGCTGACAGACTATAGTTCATAACCGCACAATGATGTCCCCACTTCAGCTCCACAAACCTTTTATCATTGCAATTTATATTTCAAAGAGAACCTGTCACCCCGATGTAGATACAATATACTGTATGCCACTAATTCTATCCAATTAGCATTGTGTGTCTTCTCTTTACATATTTTAATTTCTGCAGCACAATAGTGAACTTGTATGAGAATCCAAAGAACCCATTAACAGATCCACTTTGTGAGAGATTTTGGAATTCTGGAAGATTTCCTCTGACCGGCAGTGCCGTAGGGGAACATGGTGCCAGCTTCCCGTGCGATAAGGAAGCTGGGTGACGAGTAGTGACCCGCCTCCCAGCTTCCTGATTGGCCGGGAAGCCAGCTCCAAGCAGGGAAGCCGGCTTCCCATCCAGCCAATCAGCATCGAGCCGGCTTCCCGGCTCAATGCTGATTGGCTGGGAAGCCGGTTTCCCAAGCAAGCACAATCAAGTTGGCCAGACAACATGGAGCCAGATTCTCGTGCAATCAGATTGCCCAGGAAGCCGGCTCCATGCCAGCGGAAGCACCGGTATCAGTACTCGGTATCGACGAGTACCGAAACCAAAGTATCACTACTCGTTACTGGAAAACTGGTATCGGTCCATGCCTAGTTAAGAGTGCAGGGGGAGGCGCTGATAATGTGGGGCGGGGGTAAAGGTGCTTTGCGGCGGATGCGGTGGGACAGGTGGCTGTGTTGCACCGGACAGAGAGCCATCCTGTCAGCTGCTCTCTGTCCCGCCCAGTTCACTGACATCACTAGTTGTCAGGAGCTCGGCGGGATGCCAACCAGAGAGTCCCACTCAGCTCCCTGGAAACCAACGATGTCAGTGAGCTGGGCGGGTCACAGGTTGCTAAGAGCTCTCGTCTATTTCAAGCAATTAGCGATGTCATCACGCAGTCACAGGGTTCACTCATTCCGAAACACCCCCCAAAAATAAAGCCGTCAGTCCCAAATGACAAAGAAGACTCAGCTTACCGACAGGAGGTTTCAAAAGCAGCCGATTCATTGGTGATCAGTTTAGTGTGGGTGCACGCCGTCTCCGGGAACACGGGGCCGCTGTCCATGTGAGCGTGGTAATGTCCTCCCTTGTTATACCTCACCACTTGTAGAGGTTCGCTGTTCTCCACCATGTCTGGCGGCAAACGGGTCAACTTGATGACTCTGTGCAGCAGAAAATAAAGTCACAAACACAAAAGATTTCAAGTTTAATTGTCTTATATTTTGCCTTCCCTGGTTCCTTCCTCTCCTCCTCAACAAACATGCTAATGACATTTTTACATAAAACCTTTCCATGACATATCTTGTTGTAGAGCCATTGATGTCCTCACTGAGTCTTTGTTCTTCTCTAAACAATGCAGGCAGATCATGGCTGGTGGGAGGGGCCGGCAGGGGGCTGTGCATAGCTTGGATACGGAAAAAACAAAGTTCTCCAGAGATCCGAATCCACTAAGTGTAACCCTTTCATTGAGTTAAACGCTCATCCACACGGACTTCTAACCAAATATGCATATAGAAAAAAAAGACATTCAGAGATCGAGCATCGCTGAACAAAAGCAGTTACCCCAAAGACCGGGACCAGCATACGAGTACAAACAGTTTCATTGAACATATGTCATCTTGCACTCTCACATTCAAACAAATGGGCCCCACACATGCAATAGGCAAAAGGAACAACCACGGGACTCCTGATGAGAAGATATTGGATTATTTTTTTCTGGCTGTGCATAGCTTCCTGACAACATCACAGCACCCTTCCTCAGTACTCCTCTCAAGAGCCTTCTAGGAAAGTCAACATTTCTGTCTTTTCATTATTTCTCTATGCAACCCTATTGGGAAGATTTCCCCCCCACTTTCTGTCCCTGTGACACCCGTACAAGGACTGAGGATTGCGGTTGTCACTAACACAGGAAGGCATGGACATTAATAATAAGACTGCCGGAATATCTCACCCTTCCCACGCTATTAAAAATGTGTCTCTATCGGAATCTTGGGGCTCCTCTCCCTGCAGGCTGTTATTCTTTAAAAATGGAGTGGCTCTGCATGGCTCCGCCCACACAGCCACATCATCCATTCACAGATCCTTTGACAGGATCTGTGAATGGATCAACTACAGTAGATGATAGAAAGTCACCAGCACTCACTTGTAATGTGCAAGAAGCATACGCACTTTTATTGATGCGTCATAGAGACAACGTTTCTGGGCCGCGCAGGATCCCTTCCTCAAGGCGACATTGAAACGTTGGCTCTATGACGCATGTGACGCATCAATAAAAGCGTTAATGCTTCTTGCACATTACAAGTGAGTGCTGGTGACTTTCTATCATCTATTGGACTGCGGCACGGCGCCATCCGTGTTGTCACTTCGAGCACCAACAGCTATTTCATATGGTTTAAGCGCTGTATGGAGTGCAGGTTACTAATGCTATTGGGATTAACTACAAGTCCCATCAGTCACTGCAGCAGCAGGACTTGTAGTTCTCAGTGTAATACAATCACCCTGATATCACCGCAGTTGTAGTCCATTCATTCGTCCTCCCGTCCATGTTACTGAATGTCCATACCGAGGTACAGACATGGATGGGTGGAAGAATCTGCAAGAGCCCGAGCGTTGCACCCGCCATCCACTGATAATGGTTGCAAAGCTTTACTGGCTCCAAGCAACAAAATAACACATTCTATTTTATTTTATTTTATGAAGAAGTGCACTTTTATTATTTTTTTTCTAAAAAGTGGACTTTACCTTTAAAAAGGATCCATGGCTGCACTGGCGTCACAAGGGGGGTGCAGTGGGTGTGGCCCACACCTGGGTGATACCATTGGAGGGGTGACACCAAAATGAATGACAGTCATATTGGTGTCACCCCCTATGAAAAGTCGGGCACTCGGTCATGGACCGAGAGCCCAAAAGTTTCAGGGGAGAGGAGGGGACCCAGCAGCATACCTTATCCCGCCGGGTGAACGTCCCCTCCTCACTCTGTTGGCTTCCATCACCAAGATGGCCACCGGCAGGTGTCCATAAGATGGCCGTGCATGCGTGATGACATCATTTGCAAAATACGTCTATTTATTGACGTGCATCGATGCTTTAGCTCTGCTTTAGCTCACGATTGTTACGGCTGCCACCCGTTGACTACCGCAGCACCCAATTCTTGAAGGGATTCACACGGTCAGGAATGCGAGGGGACCATGTACTATCTATGACATCATGGTGCACGCGCGTGGTGATGTCACGCGCAATGACGTCACGGCAGGGTGTGACTCAGTCTCTGCTCCGGGTGACACCAAGCCTCGGGACACCCCTGCATGGCTGTTCAGCTATAGACAGCAATGTATCAGTGTGAAGGAAAACGTTCAGTGCGGAGAAGATAACAACGTTCCTTCTGATCGCTCGCTCGCCTGCATACTTATTATAAAGTTACACAATTGTCAGTGAAGACGTGTGAACGCTGGAACATAAAGGGAGCGTCTTCATTAGTGGCACTAAGTAAAAACAAACAGAGGACCCGGGCTGTTTACTGATAATCAGCCTGTAATTAGCTCCTCGTTTCCTCCTCGCACACAACTGACGCTTCATTAGGTTCAGTAAACAGAGTCACCTTGAGTGGCTTATGGAGATAAGACTTTCCAATCATTATTCTGTTTAGATGTTGGCTCTCCGTACAGATAGTGAGAAGCCCAGCGGGGTGATTGTTGGAGATAAGTGGACGGTGAAGAGTTAATAACATCATTTCACGGATTACAAATCGCCAAACTCCATAAATGGAGCAAAATGAATCAAACGGTGTTATAAAAACGGATCATCTGGTTTCAGCGCAGAGATTTCTCCTTCCATGTCTGTGATTTGCTCAATTCTAAATAGGTGCAAGAATGTCTTCAGTGTTCAGTGTGATAATATACGGAGCGGGAAGGTTGGCGCTCAGCGCTGGAATGTTATGGTACAATAAAGTTTGTTTATATGGAGGATGAAAAATGAAAACAAGGGAGGTTTAGTGTTGGGGTTACAGGGAGTGTTAGTGTTGGGGTTACAGGGAAGGTTAGTGTTGGGGTTACAGGGAGGTTTAGTGTTGGGGTTACAGGGAGTGTTAGTGTTGGGGTTACAGGGAAGGTTAGTGGTGGGGTTACAGGGAGGTTTAGTGTTGGGGTTACAGGGAGTGTTAGTGTTGGGGTTACAGGGAAGGTTAGTGTTGGGGTTACAGGGAGGTTTAGTGTTGGGGTTACAGGGAGGGTTAGTGTTGGGGTTACAGGGAGGGTTAGTGTTGGGGTTACAGGGAGGTTTAGTGTTGGGGTTACAGGAGGGGTTAGTGTTGGGGTTACAGGGAGGGTTAGTGTTAGGGCTACAGCGAGGGTTAGTGTTGGAGTTACAGGAGGGTTAGTGTTGTGTTAGGGATACAAGGAGGGTTACAGCGAGGGTTAGTGTTGGGGTTACAGGGGGGGTTAGTGTTGGGGTTACAGGGAGGGTTAGTGTTGGGATTACAGAGTGGGTTAGTGTTGGGGTTACAGGGAGGGTTAGTGTTGGGGTTACAGGGAGGGTGGGTGTTAGGGTTAATGTTAGGGTACAGGGAGGGTTAGTGTTTGGGATGCAGGGAGGGTTAGTGTTGGGGTTACAGGGAGGGTAAGTGTTAGGGTAAAGGTGGCCATACACTGTACAACCATCGCAAGACCTTAGTCTTGCGATGGTTGTAAAGTACTTAAAAAAACATACGATCTGCCCATCTTGGATAGGCAGATCGTACTCTCGATCATCGCAAGCCCGCCCCCCTGAGGGGCGGGTTTAAGATGACTGCAATGAGGGGCGGGCTTGCGATGACTGCACACGGGCAGTGTGCGCGTGCGCACACCGGCCCGTTCGGCAGTTGTCGAACCAGCAGGCCACTAACTCGCCGAGAATCGTACGATTCCCAACGGGTTTTCTAGCCTGCTGGTTCGATGGAAGACGTGCGACCGTACAGTAGAAACGCTCGCACGCCTTCCATACACTGCACGATTCTCGTACGATCGCGGGATTTCCTGCGATTCTCGTACGAGAATCGTGCAGTGTATGGGCACCTATACAAGGAGGGTTAGTGTTGGGGATACAGGGAGGGTTAGTGTTAGGGATACAGGGAGGGTTAGTGTTGGGGATACAGGGAGGGTTAGTGTTAGGGATAGAGGGAGGGTTAGTGTTGGGGATACAGGGAGGGTTAGTGTTGGGGATACAGGGAGGGTGAGTGTTAGGGATACAGGGAGGGTTAGTGTTGGGGATACAGGGAGGGTTAGTGTTGGGGATAGAGGGAGGGTTAGTGTTAGGGATACAGGGAGGGTAACATCCTGCCCTGGATCTTGAATGTGCCCCTCCCCAGTCTTTCTAACACCTTGAGACGTGTTAGGGTAAACCTGTCATGGGAGAAGTATGGAGGCCGTCATTGCTGATCTCCTTTTGACAACAATAGCTGCCTGACCTTGTCTGGATTTGCGAGGCCCTGACCCAGACAAAGCATACATCATTGTTGTGGATAAATGACAGAAATAGTGAAGCCGGAGGGTCATCATGACACCCAGACATCAAGTATTTGCATTGACATCACTGGCAGACTCCATGTCTGTGTGGCCCATTGTGTCCAAGCCGTAAAGCAGAATCTTATTGCTACAGACCGGTAAGTTCCCGGAACCCACCATGATATGTCCTATGGTGTCCTCCGTACAATGATCCCACACACCACTGACATCCCCCATGCAGCTCTGCACTCTGATGTGTGTGATGGAAGAGGATCCATAGACTGCCAGCATACTGAGAACAGCTGATAGGTTGCTCTGTGACTTGTAGTTCTTCAGCAGCTACTGTTGGCCCTACGAAGCTTGAAGACACGGACTTAACTTGCCAAGTCCAATCAGCCGGCTATGTTGAGTCTCCGGGTCACCTCATTGCACAGTCTGCATGTGAAAATACTAACAATAACAAGTCCGGGTGGTCTAAACCAAGAAGACATGAAGAAGTGACAAGGAAAACTAAACAGAGCCGCACATAGAGAAACAGCATCCAGACCGCATGATGTCATAGGCAGCACGCGCGGCTCACTGAATCATCCTCTATACTTGTGAGACAAGATTAAAGGGGACATGACCCGTGTGATGTGCTTTCTTTCTGTCCAGGTACACAGGGAGGAGTGATGAGATTCAAGTGGACTTATCATACCGTCTCATTTCCTGGCTGGAGGACGTCCAGCCACATCCAGCTCTTTCCTCCCTAGTCTGACTGTCCCTGCCCCCCACCCACCTTTCATTCCCTGCATTTCAGTTCTATGAAACATGGAGTCTCAGCATGACATGTGGGCGTTACCTAGGGCGGTCTGCTGTTTTCAGGAAACTATGAGAAGATCCTCCCACCAGCCATGATCTGCCTGCATTGCACAGAGTCCCAGTAGTGACATCACTGGTCTAAAATGAGGTATGTAGTAAAAACAGACATTTTCATTAGCATATTGATGAGGGTGGGGGCAAGGAAGGCAACATACAAGTAGATTAAACTGCAGCTCCATACAGGAGGCTTACAAGCAGGAGGTATTTTCTATGGGATTACTGAACAGGAAGTCATCAGTGTGTTGGAACACCCCCCCC